AACGTTTCCATTAAGACAAATGACAGTGACCGATGGTGATGTAATAACGCAGCTGTCACTGCAATCAGACCTTTAATTGAAGAAGACGAATCAGACCAATCAGTAGTTAAGATGTCTTTGTTGTCCGTCTCGGCCTTTGTCAGTTAACTACTTAATAAATGCATTGCTCCAAGCTCTTGCCTATTACTCTGAAAATTGCTTGATCGTTAGGTTTGATGTGTTGGAGAAATTTCATCATCTGCCGCTATAGCTCGTTATAAACGTGTTTGTGGAGCGCAGCATGCTGTCCCATCCGCTCGTATAATAGATCATTGTGAGAGGGTGCCGGGGTCTGTCATTAGCCACCTGCTTGAGTCGTGCTCTTTATGCCACCCTTGCTAACACCCCACGGCTCCTCCGTTATCCCATACCGGCACGACCTTTTAATGATGTTAATTTTGTTTTGGTTACAGGCTAACTCTCAAGATTTATATGCTGAGGAAACTTGAGTAGGCTTAGAGGTCTCTTGTCAACATGTGCCACACTGATTTAGGGTGAAATTAATGGATGTCCTTTAAAAAGAGTTCTCTGGAGGTGAGAAGTATAAACTAGTTTCTTCTAGCCCAGTTTAATGTGCAGAGGAGATTATATGCAAGTCATCTGAGTTTTTGAAAGAAGTTTGTCTGTCCTTACGAAGCTAGGAAATCATTCAATTATGGTAAACTGTCTGCTAAAATATGCTAGCAATATGTTAGGACTCTTATGGATATTAACCATGATATTACAACATACAGTATAAACAAATTAAATACTTTTATTGCTTAGTTAAAGGAATAGTTTACCCCAAAATGACAATTTTGTCAACATTTACTCATACTTTGGGATGACCTCTCTTTGGTCATTAAAAATGTCATGGCACTTCTGGTAATGAGTAGTGGTGTAACTGCGGCGTCCTTCATGGCCTCTTAGTCATCTCCATCCACTGAATTGGCTCTATCACTGTCTCTCCACTCCCCCTATTGCTGGTGTGTGGTGAGCACATTGGCACCAGTGTCCTGTGGCTGCCATTGCATCATCCAAATGGATGCTGCACAATAGTGGTGGTGTGGAGAGACCGCTGCCCCCTCATAAAGTGCTTTGGGTGTATGACCATTCATGATAAATGCGCTATGTAAATGCACATTACATTACAATAACCTTCACTTGATTTGTAGAGTTTCTTACTGCTGTTAAAAACGAAGGGAGACATAGTGAAGAATTTTGACATGAAGGAAGGCATGGAGGTAGTGGTTGTTATATTTACGTAGAAAACAATAATTTTTTAAAACATTTTAATCCTTTAGTTTTTTCATATATAAAGATATTTGTGTATTGGTGTACATCCTGTGTGTATTAAGTGTTTGAACCTGCATAAACGCATTACTAACGTGTTCTGTGCTGGACTTTAGACCAGCTTTCAGTTGGTCAGGGGTGCAATCTATTTTAGTTCCTCAAAATAGCAACAAGTCAACAATGCGCCTTAACACCCCTCTTTTTTAGACCAGCACACCCATGAGTCCACAAAGGGGCGCAAATGGATTCGCTATTTAAACAACGTGGACCAAAACGTAAATATTAGGGTTGTGCTGGTCTAAAAATAGCAACAAACTTGTGCCTTATTGTGCTGGGTGTATGATAGGGCACATAGTATTTTATAGTACAATCTAGTTTTTTTATAGACTTTCAATGTAAATGGCTGCTTTTTCCCAACATTTTCCAGATTATATTGTTTTGTGTTCAACAGAGGATAGAAATTCTAAAGTTTGTAACCACTTGAATGTGAGTAAATGGAGAAGAAATTACATTTTTACAGCAGTGTATTAAATCAGTTCTTACACATGGTGGAAAGATACTTTCAAAGTACATTTTAAACTTTTTTTTTGTTTGTTTGTTGATATACTACATTCATATTATGTCAAGGTTGAATTTTTAGCACCATTACTCCAATCTTCAGTGTCTGAAACCTTCAGATCCTTCTTGTATACACTGCCCATTTAAGAAAATAAATGTCACAAACTCTTAAATCTTCTTTTAATTTTGATTGTGGCATGCATTCACCATCGCATTGTTTCATGGTGGACAAGCCATGTGTAAAAATGATGTCTCATGCTTCCTGAACCACTCTTTCAAAATTTGAGCCTGATGAATCCTGGCACTGTCATCTTGGAATATGCCTGTGCCATCATGGAAGAAAAACAAATTGATTGAATAATCTGGTCATTCAGTTTATTCAAGAAGTCAACTGACCTCATTATTTGGGCATATAATATTGCAGAACCTGGACCTGACCGACTGCAGCCCTCCCAGATCACAGCATTTCCCCCCACCGGCACTAGGCATGATGGAAGCTTCGATTAATCCGCATCTCCTTTTTCCCTGCATGTGCCCATCACTCTGGAACAGGGTAAATCTGGACTCATCAGACCACATGACCTTGTTCCATTACTCCACAGTCCAATCTTTATGCTCCCTAACAAATTAAAGCTTTTTTTCTGATTAGCCTCACTAATAAGTGCTTTTCTAAAGGCTGCACAGCTGTTTTGTTCCAATCCTTGGAGTTCCTTTCGCATTGTGTGTGGAAATGCTCTTACTTTCACTAGTAAATATAATGATAGTTTTTCTTTTTTTCTTTTATTTATTTTTTTTTTATTTCACCAGACATTTAAGTGGTCTTTGATCTCAATGGTTTTATTCAGACCTCATTTCTTCCTCGAAGGTTATGCTTCTAGCTTTTAGTAATATGTTGGACAGTTCTTAACCCAATTTTATAGCTTCAGCAATCTCCTTAGATGTTTTCTTTGCTTAACGCATGCCAATATTTCAGTCTGTATCAGTTAGGGTTAAATAACTTGTTACTAGCTGAAACATCATCCATGCAGTAATTATCCAATAATAGACTTTTGCCTATTTCTTTAAGTCATGTATGTATGTACACTCACCGGCCACTTTACACCTTGCTAGTACTGATTGGACCCACTTTTGCTCTTAGAAATGCCTTAATCCTTCGAGGAATAGATTCAACAAGGTACTGGAAATATTCCTCAGACATTTTGATCCATATTGACATGATAGCATCATGCAGCTGCATGCATCCATGATGCGAATCTCTCGTTCCACCACGTCCTAAAGGAGCTCTTTTGGATAGCGATCTGGTGACTGTGGAGGCCATTTGAGTACAGGGAACTCATTGTCATATTCAAGAAACCAGTCTGAGATGACTTGCGCTTTATGACATGCAACGTCATCCTGCTGAAAGTAGCCTGCTGGAAATGGGGTCCTAAAGGATAGACATGGTCAGCAACAATACTCAGGTAGACTGTGGTGTTGACACTATACTCAATTGATACTAATGGGCCCAAAGTGTGCCAAGAAAATATATCCCAAACCATTACACCATCACCACCACCAGCCTGATTCATGCTTTCATGTTGTTGACACCAACGTCTGACCATACCATCTGGATGTCACAGCAGAAATCGACTATGCAACGTTATATCAATCTTCTGTTGTTCATTTTGGTGAGCCTGTGCGAATTGTAGCCTCCTGTTCTTAGCTGAAAGGAGTGGCACCTGGTGTGGTCTTCTGCTGCTGCAGCCCATCCGCCTCAAGGTTTGAAGTGTTGTGCGTTCAGAGATGCTCTTCTGCATACTTTGATTGTAACAAGCGATTATTTAAGTTGCTGTTGCCTTTCTATCAGCTCAAACCAGTCTGGCCTTTCTCCTCTGAACTTTGGTATCAACAAGGAATTTGTACAATACTGCCGGTCACTGGATATTTTCTCTTTTACGAACCGTTCTCTGTAAACCCTAAAGATGGTTGTGCGTGAAAATCCCAGAGGATCAGCAATTTCTGAAATACTCAGTCTAGTTCGTGCTAACCATGCCACATTCAAAGTCACTTAAATCACCTTTCATTCCTATTCTAATATTCGGTTTGAACTGCAGCAGATCATCTTGACCATGTCTACATGCCTAAATGCATTGTGTTGCTTCCATGTGATTGGCTGATTAGAAATTTGAGTTAACGAGCAGTTGGACAGGTATATGTATGTATGTATATGTAAATTAAATATGAGTGTGGATGTATGGTAATGAACAATAAGGTAAGGTACGTTAACAATGCAGTTTCTAATATGGAAGTGTAAGCAATTTTGAATCTGATGGAAAAATCATAGAAATGTTTAATGAATATAAATGTGTCAATTTATATCAGGGTTTTTATAATGGTTCATTCATTTTCTTTTTGTCATAGTCCCTTTATTAATCAGAGGTTACCACAGGGGAATGAACCGAAAATTCATTCAGCACACGCTTTACGCAGCGGATGCCCTTCCAGTTGCAACCCATGACTGGGAAACATCCATACACACTCATTCACATACATACACTACAGCCAATTTAGCCTATCCAATTCACCTATACCATGTCTTTGGTCTTGTGGAGGAAACCTTCTTGCCGTGAGGCAATTGTACTACCCACAGCGCCATCGTGCTGCCCTGTTTTTATAATTCATTTACTATTTTATAAAGGAAGATATAAAAGTGTAACAAACCATTTGAAAATGAAAGTCCTTGACTAAAATTAAAGAAAAAGTGGAAATGTGGACAAGTTTATGAATATAAATGTTCATTTAAAACAGGGTTGTCAGACTCCTGGAGGGCCTTTCTCCAACACACTTACCTGTAGGTTTTAATCAAGCCTTACCAGCCTATATACCAAATTAGTTTGATTAGATGTGTTTAATTGTGCAGTCTGACACCTCTGATTTCAAACTATTTCAGAAATCTAGTAATACTAATACAGTGAAACGGTCTTAGGAATGCATCGGTCAGAAGGTGTGGAAGCTGAATCATTATTTCCATTTCATTTCGTGTCACTAGTGGAGTGGAAATTACATGCTAAACCATTAAAATTTCATACTTCACAGCCCATATCATGCTTTATTAATTTTTGTATAATAATGCACATTTTCCTCTGTTTTAGGTTCGTATCGAAACGGCTACAACCCTAAAGCTGGATATCCTTTCCTCTGAGTGATTTTGAGCCTGTTATAGTTTACGCATTATACACTAGGCTGGTCATTTGTCAGCATAATTAGATGCATATAAGCACTCTTGTAATTAGTTTTGCCAATTAACCCGTAGCCATTCAACAACACTTACTTGTTTGCATGGTCCTCTATGATTACTTGAATCACTCTCATCCTCATTTATCTGCATGTCTGATAATCAGTGCTGTGTCTGAAATAACTCTTTATATCTTTATTCACTATTCCCTATGATAGTCCACTAATATAGCCCACTTAAAGGAGTGAATAAAAGCGATGTGCACTCAAAGGGGTGTCCTTTTGTTTGTACTTTACTGGTTGTTAAATCCCTCAGACGGATTAAATTTTTAACCTTGTCATCAGACCCTGTCACAGTAATCGTTGACATTTAGGAAGCTGTTATATTATTTTTACAATTTTTAACATTTATACAAATATTAGTTTAACAGTTAGATATTTATTTAGAAACTAAAACTGAGGATTTCAGACACCACTACAAATGGCTACACCACATAATTTAATAGTCCCCCTACAGTTCAGTTTTTACCATTTTTGAATCCATTCAGCTGATTTTCGAGTCAGGTGAGAGAATTTTTAGCTTAGCTTAGCATAAATCATTGAATCGGATTAGACCATTAGCATTTTACTCACTGCATAAACATTTTGATAATTTTACTATATAAAGCTTGTCTCATTCCAACATAATAATCAATTAATTTTGCTGGGATACCATGGCTACAGCAGATGCAATAATATTTTGCAACGCTTGAAATCCGTTTCCAGGTTACAGCATTTATTTTTTACCGGTTTTGGTGAAATTTCATAATTTAACAATAGAACAGTCAAGCCTTAAGATAGTCCGAATCGATTCATAAATGCTAAAAGTTGTCAAACGAGCCAAATCTTTAAAAAAAAGTGGAGTGTTCCTTTAAGGGTATATAGGGGACAAATTAGGATACAGCCGGTGTGTATTAAAAAGTTCATTTTTACTCACCTTAAGTCATTAAACTTAACTCGGACTCACCCGTCGATGACTTTGAGTTCAGAACTGAGCAGTTCTTACCGGTAAGATTATTTTCAACATTTTATACCATTGCATTTTATCTGTTGACCTTCATTAGGTCTTCATTAATGCCTTTTTTTTTTAATCCTTCTCAGTACTTGGAGTCTATATTCAGCCTGCTGTTCCAGCTTTTGCAGCAGGTCAATGAATGTGATACTAAAATGCAAGTTCTCCATGTTATTTCCTGCGTCATCGAGAGAGTCAGCATTCAGGTGAGCTTCTGAAAAAATCTTTTTGCCCCAGTCAGATTTCTTGGATGTTTTCGATGCTTGTATTTGTTTTGTGTTTTTTACACACTGAAAGACATATTGATGTCATGTCATTGCGAAGCCATGCTGAATGAGAACAAGGCCATGATGTGCTTTGAAAATGATCTTTAGCCATTACATGGGCCTTGATTCTGAGCTATCTAGTGAATGACAATTATTTAATCATGTTAGAATTGAAAACTCGTGGTTTTAAGCTTTGTTCAATCAAACCAATTGTGTACATGATGAAAGCCTTCCTCCAACATAGGAGTCATTTAAAGAGATATTTAAGAGAACATTTCCTGTTTTTCAACCAACCTCATGTCATCATAGAAAAAATTACTTTTTTCTAGAGCAGATTACAAATTTTCTTTTTTGCTGAAACTGGACCTTGGGGGTTCATAAAATGCCAATACAAAAACTATTGACACTTAATTAAATTATACAGCAAAACAAAATTAATACATTTTGTTAGCTATAATGAAAAACGTTTTCTCTAATTTATATAATATGTATAAATTAGATAATATATAATATATATATAATATATATAGTTATATATATATATATATATATATATATATATATATATATATATATTTATATATTACGGCAATTTTTAGATTGGTAAAATCTAAAAAAGTAATAATTTAATTTAATTTAATTTAAAGAGAATTATAAAAAAATATTTTCATTTAAACACAACTTGTGAAACAATCGAGCAAAAAAATAAATAAATAAATGGAAAAATCTTTTTCAAGTTTAAATATATATTAATGTTTTTTTCTCAAAGGAAAGAACTAAAGACCCCCTATGTTGAAAATCAAGCTTTTAACAGTGTTTATATATTTAACTGGTGTTCTTAATATGCTTAAAAGCCAAAACATGAGCATTTTCTACTCTCAAAAACACAATTTGAAACATTTCTGTTGTCACAAGCATCAATTAAAGGCTTTTATGTGCAAGATGTGTTATGGAGTGTAGCCTATCATAGATTGTTCTGCTGATTTACTGAACACAGTGACCAATCAAAGGTGTTAACCTTCATGAGTTACTCCCCGTTATAAACAACTTTGTTTGTATCTAATTTCTGTGCTTCTGTAAATCTGCTCATAACAAACAAAGTGTAAGCCCAGAATACAATAATGATAATAACAATCTACACAATGTAATAGATATCATTTTTGCAGTGTGGGTCACTATTGGTGTGCAGCATTATAACTAAACTTTGTGAGATTGTGATGAGCTAAGGTTAGATTTTAGTAGTTGTAAATTAATGTAAATATTTTAAAACTATTTATAAATATTTTTATGGTTTGTTCTGTAGACTTTAGAAAAAATATATAGCTTAAAGGGGCTAAATATTTTGACCTTAAATGGTTTTTAAAAAAATAAAAAAATGCTTTTATTCTAGCCAAAATAAAACAAATAATACTTTCTCAAGAATAAAAAAAAATATTATCAGATGTACTTTGAAAGTTTCTCTGCTCTGTTAAACATAATTTGGGAAATATTTAAAAAAGAAAATTAAATTCAAAGGGGGCTAAAAATTCTGGCTTCAACTGTATATATGAACAGGATTGTCTTTAAGTTATCTGGACTGGAGCCATAATAAAGTAAATGAGAAAGTTGGGAATATTATATTGTTTCTAAATTTCAGAAGATCTTACAATATTAATATTTGTTTAAAAAAGTTTCTTCTAATTGCAATTCCTGCTCATTCCTGCCCCATTTTGATGGGAGTTTGTAAAATATCTAAAATCATATTTACAAAAAAAAAAAAAAATAGGCAACAATTAAAGTTTATTTAAACTGTTTCCTCCTCAGAATTAAACAATAAAAAGGTTTAACCTAATTTCTACCAATAGTGAGATCTAAAGCTGTCATTTTGAGAAAGTTGCAATCAACATTGTGAGATGTAAACAGTTTTAACAAGTTTTCATTTCATTGAGCAGCATATTTTGTAAAATATAGATAGTTTGAAAAGCATTTATAATAGACCATATTAATTTATAGACTCCCAGTGGAAACAGGGCTTAAAAGTATCCAGTAACAAAGTAATCAGATCAATTGCTAAAATGTTTTGAAATTGATTTAATCATTTTTACTTAATGCTCAAACCACTAAGATATGCAAATACCATCATTATCTCTGATTGGTGTATAGTGACTGACTGCTTGCAGCACATTTAAAGCCTTTTCATTTTATTGTAGTATGAAATGCTGATAATGAACTGAAATGCTGAAAATAAAAAAAATAAAAAAAAATAAAACACTGCATCCAATTAAAGTTATAAAGCAAAGTGTATTTAATATTTACATATGAGGTAGATATTGTTGCCAAGTTAATGCTGGAAGCACTGATGAGTTTTAGGAGTGCATTTGTATGTAAATAAGATCCGATTTAACTGCATTGTTCTGAAAATGTAAACTGAAATGAGAAAGCAAAAGGGTCGTCTCAAATCTGACCAGCACTCGCTGTTTTGTTGAACGAAATGATATGAAATAAATAATACGAGTACGCATTCATACATAAAATATGAGGCTGGCTGAGGTTGTGTTAGACCAAAAAAAATTGCAGAGTTTTAAGAACAATGACAGGTGATTCAAAATTCTGTCTGCCATTTTGACAGATAAAAACTAAGGGATCTGCTCTTTTGCATTCCTCTGCTAGAGTAATATTCCCACAGTAAAGGATGCTAATAGGGATTTGAAGTGAAGAATAGAAAGTTTTAAAGCGCTCCTACAAAAAAAAAAAAAAAAAACAGACAGAGATGGAGGAGGATTTAGGCATAGATTTCAAGTTTAATTCAAAAGAATAATTCATGAAAAATGTTCATTAATTTTCAAGACCGAATAAAAGAAAGTCTGCTTGCTACACAGTGCTTGCTATAAAACTAAAGGAGATATTTCTACAAACATTAGTGACTGTAAATAGCATGCATAAAACTTCAATAAATGAGAAAGTTTGAGTAAATAATTAAGAATAATTCCTTAAGCTTTTAAAGCACTTTTCTGGACACCTAATACATTTTTGTGGAAATCTCCTCATCCACCACCAGCATCCACCTGTATGACGCAACAGCAGCCACATTGCGGTAGACCGCACACCACACACCAGCTGATTGGTGGAGAGGAGACAGAGTGATGAAGCCAATTAGATATGGGGACGGTTAGGAGGCTATGATAAACATAGGCCAGCGGGTAATTTTGGCCAGGATGCTGGGGTTAAACTCCTACTCTTTATCGAAGGACATCCTAGGATTTTTAACGACCACAGAGAGTCAGGATCTCAGTTTAATGTCTCATCCGAAAGACGGCGCTCACTGAGCAGTATAGAGTCCCCTTCACTATACTGGGGCATTACGACCCACACAGACCACAGGTTGAGTGCCCCCTTGGTCTTGCTAACACCACTTCTGGCAGTAACCTAGCTTTCCCATGTGGTCTCCCATTCAGATTGTGACCTGGGTTAGCCCTGCTTGGCTTCAGTAGACAACCATGTAAGAGTTACAGATAGCTAGCTGAATAAAACGAACGTTAGACATTTCATAATTCTCTCCCATTTTTCTGTTTTCCCACCACCTCTTCCTCTTTCCAACCCACCTCTTTCTTTTTCTCCTGTTCTTTCCCTTCCACTTCCTCCTCTCTCTTTTTCATCTCTACCTCATCATCCTTCTCCTCCTCCTCTTTACCGTCCTTCCCTTCACCTTCTCTTTATCTGCTTCCTCTTCTACTACGCCTTCTAATCGATCTCTTTGTCTTTTCCTATCCACTGCTTCCTCCTTCTTTGCCTCATCCTCCTCTTCATCTTCCTTTGCCTCCTCCTCTACCTTTTTCCTCATTATTCTACCCAATTCTCCTCCTCCTTCTCTTTTTATATCCCCTCATGCTTTGTTTTTCTCCTTCTCAGTCCCTTCAATCCCCCGTCATCATCTGCCTTCTTTAATCCCTGCTTCTTTCCTTCTTCTTCCTCCTTTATTAATTTCTACTTTTACTTCTATTTTTTTATCTTTACTTATACTTCACTTGCTTTCTCCACTGTGTTACTTCTCCTCCTAATTTCCCCCCCTTTCCTCCTCCTTTGCCTCGTCATTCCCCACTACTGCTTCCCATTCTTTTCTCACTATCTTCTTCCTTGTTCTCCTCCTCCTCCTTTTCAATTTTTTTCCTCCTCTTCCTATTCTCCTCCCTATTTAGCTTTATCTTGTACTTTTCTCCTCTTCATTCTTCTGCTCCTCATTTCTCATCATTAATCTCCAATTACCCCTTTATATTCTCCTTTTCCTCTTCCTCTTTTTTTTGCTCCATCTTTTTTTTTACTTCTGTTTTCCCCATTCTTTGCCTTTCTACCTTTCCTTCTACTTATCTTCCTCCTCCTCATTTCTCTACTACCTTTTTTCTTCTGATTTCCCCTTCTTGTTCTTCTTCTTTTGCTTATCATTTTCTTCCTCATCTTCTTCTTCCTCTACTCCTCATTGTCCCTTTCCTCTGTACTTCTTCATCTTCTCATTCTTCTGCTCTTCATCACTACTCTTCACTTAGCCCTCCATATTCTCCTTTTCCTCCTCTTTTTCTCATCTTTTTTCTACTTCTGTTTTCCCCATTCTTTCTACTTGTCCTTCTACTACTCGCCCTCCTCCTCATTTCTCTCTTACATTTTTCTCTGATTTCACCTTGCTCATCCTTTTCTTCCTCATCATTTTCTCCTCTACTTTCATTGTCTCATTCCTCTGTACTTTTTTTCCTTATTCTTTTGCTGCTCACCCTCATTCCTCATCATTAATCTCCACTAACCCCATTTATATTCTCCTTTTCCTCCTCCTCATTCTACTGCTCCTCATCCTCATCACTAATCTCCACATACCCCTTCATATTCTCCTTTTCCTCCTCCTCTTTTTTCTTCCCCTCATTCTTCTGCTACTCATCATTAATCTCCACTTACCCCTTCATATTCTCCTTTTCCTCCTCTTTTTCTGCTCCTCATCTTTTTCCTACCTTTGTTTTTCTTATTCTTTGCCTTTCTACTTGTCCTTGTTCTTCTCTTATTTATCCTCCTCTTTATTCATCTACTAGTTTTATTTTGATTTCTCCTTGTTCTTCTCCGTCTGCTCATTCTTTTATTCCTCTACACTGAAACAAAAAAGATTTCTGCAAAACTGTTGCAAACGATCTATATAGGTTGAATTAAACAATCAAATTAAATTTACTAATGTTCAAAATAATTTGTTTGTTTAAATTCAGCCCAAATACAATGTTTGCAACCACTTAATGTAAAAAAGTAAACCTAAGGAAACATTTTTTAATTTTTTTGTGTGTACTTATCTTTCTCCTCTTCTTCTCCTTTTGTTATTTGGCATTTTATTTAAACTTATTTTTGACATGGTTGACAAAAATATCTAAGACAAATAGGGTTATTAATTGTTTTATCAAATGATCAATTATCAAAATTGTTATTAAATTATTATGGTTTATTTATTTATTTATTTATTTATTTTGCTTTTATTAGTTTTGTTTAACTTATGGATTTCAGACTATTTTCTTAACATTTTAACATATTTATTATTGCCTTTACTTTTCTTATCATATTCAGGTGTCATTGGCTTAAAAAAAGATTTAAAATCCTGTAACTTTTATTGCTTCATTAAAGTTTTAATTCAAAGTGTTTACAATAGATTTTCAAAGAATGTTTGAGGTTAACCTGCGTTTTTAGATTTGTTTAAATCATCTGATGCATTCCAACTCAAAACAAACATTTTTTACTTTGTACACCTTTTTTCTTTGCAGTTAAGATCAGTGCTTTACTTTTCTCCCTCCTTTGGTCTCTTGTAGATTCGGCCGTACGTGGGCTGCTTGGTTCAGTACCTTCCTCTTCTTTGGAAGCAGTCAGAAGAACACAACATGCTCCGCTGTGCCATTCTCACTACCCTCATCCATCTCGTACAGGTATGGCATACCCACGGGGCCAAGAATGAAACCGATAACGAGCCTTTGAAATGCTCAAGTCAGGTGTTTAGCATTCTGTCTGTGTTTTGGAGTGCTCACTTGAACGTGAGGTGTTGCACTGTCTCCAACCGGGGCCTGATTTTCACCATCGTCATCCACGGTTATGAACAAATGCCCTCTAGCTCTGCTGAGCACATCTCTGGCTTTCAGATACTTGAACAAGACCTTTATTTTAGCATGATACACTTTATCCTTTTCCTGCTGTGAGTGTATGAACACGCGTGCAGACAGGGGATTGTTATTGATGGGTGTATTTGAAAATTGCCACACGGCTTCTCCATCTTCCTCCATGTGGGATCCTGTCTTCTTCTTTTTTCCACCCTTTTTTCACTGTGTGCAGTTTCTGTGTCACTCCGGGCCCTAAGGATATGAGTGACACTCACATTTAAAGCATCCTGAGGCTGCAGAAGCTGGATATCTCGAGCTTGGTTTAACAGAGAGCTCTAGTGAGCAACACTTTGCTGATGCAGAAACAACCCTTTTCACACTTTTTGCCAATTTGTGACGTTACAAAAAAACAAAATCTGTTTTGATTGAGCTGAATGGTTAAAGGGCATCCTGGATTGGTCGTGACTCACTGCATTTAGAGGGATAGTTCACTCAAAACTGAATATATTGCCATTATTTACTTATGGCCCGTTTCCACTGAGTGATACAGTATGGTACGGTTCGGTATGCTTTTATGGCCGTTTCTGCTGTGGAAAGACACCAAAAAGCGAACCGTACTGTATCACTTTTTGAGTACCCTTTCGAAAGGGTACCTAGCACTACAAAAGAGTACCAAAAGGCAGAACAAGATACGCAGTTAAACGCTATTGGTTGATAATGAAAACAAAGAGTGCGCTCGACGTGTCTGAAGAGCGAGATGCAGGGGTGGGAAAGGTGCGTGACTTATTTGAGGACAGGAAGGGAGACTTGGGATGTCTGAATATCACGTTTAACAACTATAGTAAGATGCGATCCAGCAGTACATCCTTGATAAACTGTTCGACGTGCACTGCTCTATGGAGCTCAGAGAAGCGCATGACAGTGTGTGGCTGTGTGTGTGTGGCTATGTCTGTATGTTTGTGTGGACACATGATGTGCGTTTTCAGGGGGCTGTTCAGAAATGCTAGGTAAAACACGATGTGGATGTGGATCATTTTGGTTCTAAAATGCCATTTTAACACTAAAACGCATTAGTGTATACCGGGCCTAATTTTGTATTTTTCGCGATCGGGTTCGCGACAGGGGTGGGGCGGAGTATCGGCGATGCCGGCTCAGCATCGTGTTGTCTATTGGCGATCGATGATAGATGATGGCATCGTCTATCGGCCCAAGCCTAATGTTCAGTCTAAATATCTTGATTTTAGTTTGTTTTGGCCAGGAAAACAATGAAATCCTCAACTTGTGGATTACTTGTTTAGTCATAGTCATGTGCAGGCACTTGGCAGCTAAAACACTTGGCTAATGTTGGAATACAGTAAAGGAAAAAACTTTTATTACGTTTTTGTTGTTATGTAAAATTTTTATATTTGTAAATATGTAATTAACTATAAGTTAAATAATATATCTATAGTTTAATTTGATGTATTTGTAATCAAGTAATTTGAAAATAATGGGTAAATGTTCAATTGATTCCACCTGTCGTCATTCATAATTATGATTTATTTATTTTACTTATTAATGAATTACATTTAAATTAATTCAAGATTTTCTGAGTGGCGTATTGCAACCACCCAAATTATTTATTTATTTATTGACATATTATTTCATGGGGTGCGCACGATAGGCCATTGCTTAGCACTGTCGCCTCACAGCAAGAAAGTCGCTGATTAAAGCCACAGCTGGGTCAGTTGGGGTTTGCATGTTCTCCCTGTGTTTTGGTGGGTTTCCTCCGGGTGCTCCAGTTTGCCCCACAAGTCCTAAAACATGTTGTATAGGGGAATTGGGTAAGCTAAATTGTCCGAAATGTATAGGTGTTTCCCAGTGCTGGGTTGCGGCCGAAAGGGCATCAGCTGTGTAAAACATAAGCTGGATAAGTTGGCAGTTGTTCTGCTATAATCCGAGATATGCTAATAACAATAATAAGATTACTTGTTTATTATAAAAAAAATGAATATAATATAATATATGAATAATAAGGCACATCAAACTTTTTTGTTAATATTATTATTATTATCTTTTTTTTGTCTGAATTCTTTCAAATAACACCTCTTGTCTGTTTATATATGGTCAGTTAGACTTTCATGGATAAATGTTAAATTTTGATTTCATCCAAAGGAGTTATTGAGTAATCATCAGTGTAAATGAGCTGTTCTTTGTCTTTGAAAATGCTCTGTGCTTCACCAAGCACATCTTGCACATTAACATTTCTCCATCACATTAAAAAAAAAAGAAAAAAAACTCTTCACTGTGGCATCTTCAGATCTTGTAAATCACAGGCACATGAAGCAATCTGAAAGATCGCCCAAGGCCTGGGCAAAAATTAGCATACTTCTTAAAAACCTGCCACTCGTGCCAGCTTAGTTGACCAGCTCTCATTATTCGTTTTTTTTTTTTTTCTCTCTCCTCAAGTCCTTAGATTTGCATATTAAAATGCCAGCAGTCCTTCAGGAAAGCCTCTATTGTGTGCATTTCTTACCACCCGCCATCAACAGTTTGCTATTAACCTTGCGTTTTGTTTGTGTTTTTGTGGCCTCCTTTGCCAGCCATATGGCATCACAGCTGCCGCTCTCCAGCCTGGCACAGAATGCTGAAAGCACAATATTACCAGTGAACATTCTAAGTCAATCATCCCTAAATGGCCCTATCATGGGTCCATCCCCAAAAGCATATTTCTGACAGATGCTGCATTCTCTTTACTGCATATTCCAGATATGATTTGTGGAGCTGCTGAAGCTAAATTGCTTTGGCACATGCCATGGCCAGCAAAATTGGACTGTTGTTGTGGACGGAGCTGTTGTTTGGGAATCTCTTTTTTTTGTTATTCGTCTTATTACTTTGTGATTTAGTTGGAATCTGTTTTTGGTATATGGCATAATTTTTACTTTGTTGTAAAATATAAAAAAAGAAAAATGAAAGACAAAGAAAGAAAGAGAGAAAGAGAGAAAGAAAGAAAGAAAGAAAGAAAGAAAGAAAGAATGAATGAATGAATGAATGAATGAATCAAAAAATAATTAAAGAACAAAAAAAGAATGAAAAAGATAAATAAGGAACAAAAAGAATGAAAGAAAAAAGGAAACGAAAGAAAGAAAAATAAATAATGAAAGTCAGACAGAAAGAAAAAAGAACAAAAACAGAAAAAATGAAAGACTGAAAAAAATGAAAAAGAAAGGATGAAATAAATAAATAAATTAAAAGATTGAAAGAATGAAAAATAGAGTGAGAGAGAAGGAATGACAGAACTAAAGGAATCATGAAAGACAAAGAGTACGAAAGACAAAGAAAAATAAGGAAGAAAGAAAAAGTGAAAAGAGAGAGAGAGAGAAAGGGAAAGAACAAATGACAAATAAAGAACAAAAAATAATGCAAGAGAAAGAAGAAAGAAAGTGAGGAAGGAAAAGAAAGAACTAAATACACAGACAGAAATAAAGAATAAGAATGGAAAAGACTGAAAGACAAAGAAAAAATGAAAAAGAGGATGAGAGAAATAAATATAAACATTGAAAGACAAAGAGAGTGAAAGACAGATAGAAAGAAAGAATGAATGAAAAATTAAGAGAGTGAGAGATAACGAAAGAATAAAAAGAACAAAAGGGAGAGAGCAAAAGACAAATGAGAAAGAAACCGCATAAAGAAGAAATAAAGAGAATGAAAGAAAGAAAAAAGAAGTAACAATAATGAAAAAGAAAGAAATACAAAATAGAACAAATGACAAATAAAGAACAAAAAGAAAGACAAAAAAAGAGAAAAGGAAAAAAAGAATGAAAGAAAGAACTAAAGACAGACAGAAATAAAGAAAGAAAAATAGAGAAAGAAGAACCAAAGACAAATAAAAATGGAAAATGACAAAGAAAAAAAGAAAAATTTAAGTCTAAGAGCGAAAGATGGATAGAAAGAAACATTGAAAAATAGAGTGAGAGAAAGGATGAAAGACAAAGAATGAAAGAACAAAAAGATAAATGAAAGAGAACGAAAAGGCAAAGAAAAAATTAAAAAGAAGGGATGAAATCAAGAAAGAAAGAAATAGAAAGAGCGAAAGATGGATAGAAAGAATGAAAAATAAACATGAGAAAGAAAGGAAGAAAAACAAAAAATGAAATAACAAAAGGACGAAAAGAGAGAATAAAGGACAAAGAAAAGAAAGACAAGGAAAAAAGAAAGAAAGAAATGCTACAAAAGAAATGGAAAGAAAGAAAGAGGCAAAGACAGAAAAAGAGAAAGGATGAAATGCAATGGAAAGAAAGAAATGGTAAGAAATAAAAGAAAGAAAGGATGAAAAGTTAGAAAGAAAAAAAATTGTAATTGTTGTTAGAGTCATTTTCTAATTTTATTAAGGACAGAAGTAACTCACCGATAACTTCACGATAATGGCAATAGAATAAGTTAGTAAATCATAGAAAATGATAATAAGTCAATTGAATTAATCAAATAAACAAACAGAAATAAATAATAAAAATCAAATAAGACAAATATAAATAAGAGAACAGGCCTGATCAAAACAGTTGTGACTCCTCAGCAGGTAGCTGAACCACACACACACACACACACACACACACACACACAGAACTCTCAGGCCTTCATCAGTGCAGCAGTACAGTATAGAGCAGGATCCAGACAGAGCTTCTCAGCAAGCACAGGTCATGCTCACGACAGAGCTAAAAGAGGACAAGCCAGACTCTCACTGGGAAACAGAGAGCTATACCAAACACTGCAATGCTGCTAACAAACTTGCCACAGGTGTAAAGGACCATGACCTGGAAACAAAAGAAATATTAATCAGTACAAACAAAGCAAGT